GAACAAGAAACCAATCTTTGCATATGTCTTGAAATCCACAAATGGTCTCCAGTCAGAGTAACATGTCGGCCATCCCGTCGACTGAAGCACCAACATAGTTAGAGTTATGTTTGGCTCCCCGTTAAGTTCAGTTTGGGCATCAATGGCTGTCAATGGCTGAGATTAGAAATTAGAAAGAATGAAAATCTACCTAAGATGACGACCTAAGATCAAAATCCAATTTCTCCCAATGAATCATGAATGAAAGCAACTCCCAATGTCTGATTTGACTGTTGCATCGTCTACTCACAGTCCACCTGACCTGCCTGAAAAGAACTGAAGAACACTCATGATACTACATGGTCCACGTTGTTGGCTGGACACTTGGTTTCCGAACGATGCGCTTGGTTTTTGTTGAACCTGCAGTGCCTGATCATCGCGCCAAAGACATTGCAGGTTGCAAGGCCACAGAAACCATAGAAGTGTAGCCAGCGAGAAAGGACGATTTCAAATCAAAAAACATTATCATTGATAGGGTAGTGAAGAAAAGAGGCATAAGGACAGGGATAAACTGTAAGCTGTTGCATTGCCGTATAGTCTTGAAACTTACCGTATGTCCAGGCCTACTGAAAATGATCAAAGACACTCAAAGACACTCAAAGACTCAAAGAATAATGCTAACGTTGTTTCAATACCAGTTCACTCAATGAAAACATCAGAGGCTGGGTAAGACTGCAAATGGAAACAGAAACATACCCTCTGGAAGACTTCAGTTGAGCCGTTTTTGGCAGGTATATTTAATATACCTGGCCGGAATCTCCTAACTTGAGGCTTTGATGGAGCCAACTTGAGGAGTTTGGAGGCCTAGCTGGGCCATGGAAGGCCTCAGTTGAGCCGTTTTTGGCAGGTATATTTAATATACCTGGCCGGAATCTCCTAACTTGAGGCTTTGATGGAGCCAACTTGAGGAGTTTGGAGGCCTGGCTGGGCCATGGAAGGCCTCAGTTGAGCCGCTTTTGGCAGATATATTTAATATACCTGGCTGGAATCTCCTAACTTGAGGCTTTGATGGAGCCAACTTGAGGAATTTTGCGGCCTAGTTGGGCCATGGAAGGCCTCAATTGACACGCTTTTGGCAGGTATATTTAATAAACCAATATCATAGTAATCTGGCAATTCAAGTTCAAAATTCCAGCAATCTTAACTAAAGGACTAAATATAAACATACCAAATCACCTGAAACATGCCAGAGCCTCCCAAAGGCAAAGAGCAGGGTCCAGGCTCAAACCTTCCAAAAACAAAGTGAATCTTCTGCAGCCAATCAGAATTAAGGTTTGGGATAAGGTCAGGTAAGGTAAGCCAAAAGAAAATTAATTCAAATTCAAATAGCCTTCTTTGTGGTATGGTGGTGGTGAGTGACAAGTGACAAGTGATTGTTACATGTGAAAGTCATGCGATTATAGTCAGTAGTCGTCACTAGTCATAAGTCATTAGGTACATTCGAAAACACCCGGCCATTGCCCAGCCTGGTCACACTCGACAGCAATCTGCCTTCCTGTCCAGGCACACGTGATTTCGGCGAGTTTAGTTTAGCTTTCCAGTATCTTTGGGAACCAACATATACTGGCTAGCATCATCTTAGCCAAACAGTCAAACACACAGCCACAAATACATGTCATGTATAGAAACTAACAAAAATCAGAAACACACCAAAGCACTGCTATGATTGGTTCTGTCAAGAACCATGTATCATGACTCATAACACTCATGATGCAAAACAATGCATGACAAAAGCCCTTTGAAGCCCTCTAGTTTTAAAAACCCAGGCTTTGTAAGATAATCTTGGCTTTTCCATCCAGGTCAGAAACCTGTGGGTTTTTGGGCGCACTGACCATTTCCCTACCATGCCGGCCTTCAGGACATCACTGAGGCATTGCACGCTTTGTAGATGATGATGTCGCCATAGATGCCCCAGACTGCAAGCGGCAAACACGAAGATTTTAAAGAAGACATGGCAAAACAAGGCAACCATGAAGTCACGCCCCTGATATATCATGGCTACTCGTTATTTAGGCTCTGTCAGGCTGGGCTAATCCATCCAATGTTGAGATTATCTACGAACCGCATACTAGGTCACTGATTGTTTCTCACACTACCGCCATTTGGCCATCTGGTCACCTGGCTTTTGCAAACCGACACACAAAAAGTATTTGGTTCTTACGTGATGTTTGGAACAATGTGGAAATCATGATTTTACATATTACTTTATTACTTTATTGCACATATAAGTGGTTTGGTTCCTTTGACCGGTTTTTCTCAAAAACCAACAAAGTGTCCTCAAAAAATGCCAAGCCCAACTACAGCCTCTGCAACCGAACTGCGGTGACAGCACGTCCATGTAGAACAGCACAAACACAGCCTGGTCAGAAGCTTTGACAACTTTATGTTCTGAAAAGTTTATGAAATGAGATCGATATTTCAATATAAAAAAGACTGGTGTTGTAGGTTGGGTGGGGTGGTATGTGATAACTCTTCCGGAAGAAACACTGCACTATGTCCAGTCTTGCAGCGATATTTCAGTACATACAGCGATATTTCAATATCGTGCAAGATGCATTTCCTCACAAGCCATGAAGCCTAACACTAACACTATGCCAGGGTTTGCCACTCACCATGTCACGTCGGACCCAGGAAAATTGATGTATTAATGTTTTTAAACTTGAATCTTGCAGTCATGAAGTTGATATGTTTCTCTAACAAAGTTAAAGGAAAGGTAACCCTTTTCCTATTGGCTCGCCACCTCAACAAAGAACCCAAGCAATAGAAAAGAAAAAGTGCCAAAAAGGAACCCGTTTTGCGTGTTTTCACCGTTTTAGGGAGTGGCAAACCAATGCAAACCAACAGGAAAAATACAAGGACAGGGTGTGTGATGTGAGACAAGAATCAACCACATGTCCAGCCCAAGACTTCAAGCCTCCCTGGTGATGATGAAACACTGTCTACAAGTTAGTGGTCAGCGGGGTCTAGACTACTAGCACCCAGTACCCAATCAGTTTATTAAACAACAACATTAGTCTGAGTCGAAGTTGAAAATTGTAATTAAAAACACGTAAAGAAAAGGACTTGAAAACTAACCAAATTCAACTCGATCATGTGTTGATGCTTGACTAACCTCAATGAGTGTCACTGTCACTCAAAACTCAAAACTGACATCTGACAGTCTGACACTCATAACTGACATCTGGCATCACCCACATCCCACATCGCGCCTTGTCGGTGCGAAGCAATCTGGCAAACGAAAGCTTTCGGGAAGCTTCAGTGGCAAAAGAGACGGCTGCGGACCGAATGAAGATGACGACGATGACAATGACTGGTTGTCTGCACCAGCCGGTCTTGCTTTCACTTGCACTGCCGATTTCAATGCCTCTTTCAACATTCCCTGCAAGCTAGCAACGCAATGCTGATGGGAGGATAGCATGCACAAGCAGCATCTGACAGCCTTGCGTATGGGAAGTTGTTTGCTGTCGACTTCATTGCAAACAATGCATGGGTCATTCGTGGGTTGACGACTGTCACCCTCAGCTTCACGGAACATGTCCAAAACCATCAACATGTGCTTGGGCATAGTTGATTGTTGTTGGTCCCTCTTCCACTGTGCTTTCACAACTTTGACACCGGTATCTCTCCAAATGATGTTGGGATGACGTGATCGGAAATCAATTGGGTCCTTGAATGCGCCAACATTCACAGGCACCTTCAGTCGATTGTCTGCATCCATGCTGATTACTCGACCTGTTTCACAAGAAGGTTGGACAGACTTGCTCTTGTTTTGCCAATTGATGATTTCCACTCTTCGTTGGCAAGGGCTGCCAGCAGAAGGGTTCTGCTGATAGGAAACCAATGACACGCCATTAAAATCACCATCTGGTTCACAATGGTCCCTCTGCATCAACAGTAAACGGAGTGCTTCTGAACACCGCCCAACCCATATCTCATATGGGGACGTCCTCTTGTCGACATCCAAGTGCGCAGGCAAAAGAAGATCTTCGAATCCTTAGCTGGGCTGTGCAACGCAGTTGCAGTGTCACAAATCACAAGGGTTATAGTGAAGATTGGCTTCAGTTTTCAAAGTTCAATACCCAAAGACTGTAATCTGATCTACGTATAGTGACGGGATGTTTTGACCGGATGTTGTCAAGTGAGGCGAGGTGTTTGCTGAGTAAAGCATGTGCCACTGCCTGTACATGCATGTACCATTGCCATTGGCAACTGCCAGCGGCAACTGCAGACTACAATCTAGAATCTAGAACCCCAAACAAAAGTTCAAATGTTCAAATGAATACGCAAGTTTCCCAAAAGGTTGAGTTTAAGGTCAAAGTGATGCGTGTGAGAAACAAGTATAGTATGAGTTGAAACAAGTATAGTAGCATAGTAGTATAGTATAAAGGCATAAAGCATAAAGGGATAAAAAATACACCTTGAAACAGCACTGGAGTGGCTTGGTTAACTTGCCTATCGTACGTGTGCTGACAAACATTCTGGAAAGAATTACGATGATTTCACAACTGGAACATCGGATTGGGTTGCACTACGTGGCAGTCCAGTGTCCAGTCATTTATTTTCATCAATACTTGGGAATGTCTCAAAATAGCGATGCTCGAAAATGTTTGTTTTTAACCAAAAAGAATAGGTTTCGAGCATCCCTATTTTGAGACATCCCCACTTCACTACAAGAGGAATTAGGAATCAATATAAATTGTTGTATATAATTCTGTACTGTACACTAGATCTAGCTGCAGTGACTGTTACCAGCTCACATGTTCAAAGTCAAACTTATCTTGCTCGTTGACCATGCACCTAATATGTCACAGTATTTATTGCTGTCTCTCCGTCTCTCCTCTACATCTCTCGTCTCTCTATGTTTCAAAAGCTGGGGCAGGGTACCTAACCTGAAACGAGCTCAGAACCCAGGGGCCCAACAGTGTTAACAGATGAAACATTGTTCAATGTTCCTTCAGATTCTAAAACTGACCGAACAACCCAACAAACCAAATGCAATGCAAGAAACCGGTTTGGGTTTCGCCTGTGTCCACAGACAACTTAGCCCGGGCTTCTTCTGAAACTGAATCAACCCCCTGAGCCGTTGCCAAAGCAACCTCAAAAGCTGCACCCAGTGGATCAATCATAGATGATTGTTGCACGTGCTCAATAGCAGCTTGTTGCTCCACTGAATCAATGCCCGTTTTCTCAATGGTTTGAATTGCCACGGCTTTTTCATATGAATTGACGAGGTCTTCACTGGTTTGGCCTTTAAACTTCCGTTCTGCGAGATTAGACAGCATTTCATCATCTTCATACTGAATCTGACATGTATCCAAACCCTTGGCCAAGTAGTGTTGAAAGTCATCCTCAACCGCATCCCCCTGTTCGATATTTTCATGTTCATGTTCTCCGTTTTGTTCATCAAGTTCTGCTTCTTGGACCAGCAAATTCAAACCCATTTGTTGTACTTCTTGGCCTTCTGAAGAAACTGATGCAGATTTGGGTGGAGTGGATTTCGGAATGTCAGTGTGGCTACTCTTTTCGTGTGCATCCTTTGCCTCGTGGCCGCACTTCTCAATGAGATTTGTGCAGGGAGGTTCCAATTTGACAATGTTTTGAACTTTCCCCAGGGTTGCACAATTCACCGAACCATCCAACGTGCCAAAAGACTTTACCTCTGCATGCATGATCGCAATCACGTGCCCCTGGCGCACTCTGTCGAACTCTTCTTTGATGAGGATCAACAAGGCTTTAAACCCTTTCAAGCATGACCACTGAATCCTGTTTGAAGCTCTGTCCCATTGCACTTCCAGAAGTCTATGTTTCCTGCGAACAAGTTCAGCTGAGACAAAGAAACGGAAAGTGGATGACCGTTCGCCCTTCAACCGTGTAGCAATGCTAATCACTGTCGGAAAAAGAGACCCCAAGGCAGTCTCGCTTTGTTTCCGTTCAAGCAGAGTCCTGTGGACAATCATGTTGTAGCTGGCAGCCCAAGCATGGCTGACAGAATGGCAGTGAACATGAGGATTCATGACGCTGTTCAAATACAATGCCCTTGTGGGCGCAACACAGTTTGTGGCTTTGGTTGAAGGAGCAAATCTTGTTGGCTCTGACTGGACATCAATGAGACCCTCCCAAGATTGCAAGCAAAGCTGTCTCACTTTCTCAGCAACTGGTCTGAATTGGGACCATCTATGCGATGCTGCATGCCCAGCCCCTTCCCCTGATTCCCCAAGAAGGTACTTCAATTGCAACCTGGAGCTCTGTAGATCTACTGAAGCGGATGGACACCTCTCTGCAACCAACCCTTGCATCTTGTTCAGCCTTTCGTTTTCACGCACATCACTCTTCATCATGATTCCAATACCTTTAACCAGCCAAAAAAGACGGGATGGAAGTACCCCATCACTAGCAGCTATTCGAAGACTCTTTCTGAATCTGTGCTTGATTTTCTTGGCATTGATTTCCAATTCCTTGTCATCTGTTCCGATGATTTCTTCAGCAACCCTGCGCCGAACAATGCAGAAGACATCTGCCGGGGCTCTGACCAGAAGCAACAGCTTCATAGGAAATTGGGTTAGGGGCCACACAACACGGCGCTCAAAACCAGAAGCATTGTGTAAAAGCATTCTACCAGCCACCACACACAGAAATCGACGGTCATCGTCGCTGACAGTCTCAGGAATCACTGCATTCCACTGCGAAGAAATTCCTGGGCGACCCGGCGACGGCCCGAAGAAAACTGGAAGCAAAATGGTAATCCTTATCCTGTGACTCTGCGACTCTCACAGGCGACTGCAATGTGGCAGCGCAACAAAATGAATCTCATCATTCGCCATTTCAATGAATGGCTACATGACTACAGAAAAATTGAAAACAGTTGGTTGTGGTTACCAACAAGCTAGCAGGCTAACAAGCAAACAATCAATCACCATTGTCACAACTGCCCCAATTGAAATTAAACCATCTATGACATCAAAATAAATCAAAGAAGACTGATACGACCCCAACTTGATGATGAAAATGATGATATGCTGCTGCATTGCTCCTTCATGATCAAAGAATCATATGCCCCTTTGCAAATCTAATCCAGTTTCAATTCATTTCAATAACACAAACATTGACACTGACTGACAGACCCAAACACAATTTCCAGTCCCAGCGCAGATAAAACCAATGCATCTTCTTCAGAAAAAATCAATGACCTGACATACATGAAAGCTCAGCAAATATCAAGTGTTTGATCGTTGATTGGTCCAGGAGTCCAAACAAACAATGAAACAAAACATTATATTATGCCTAAATTTCTGCATGCAGTCGACCTTGGTGGATCTCGCAAAAACCTAATGTCTTGACAGGTTTAGCATATGTTCATTTTTCATTGAACAATATTCTACTAGTAACTGCCCCGATGTTTCTTTCAACGCAAGCCCAAGTGGCGAGATTTGCAAATGGAATGTGGAATCCCCCAAGTTTCCCAACACTAGACATAATTACAAACGTTACCGACGTTACCGTTGCAAACGTCATACAACATACAAACCATTGATCATGCAACCGAAGCTCGCAATGATCGCAAAGTATCACTGAACTCCTCTAAGATCAGTGCTGCTTTTCCGTAGACAAGCTGGGCCAATGGCCCCCCTTTCTCAACACAGGTTTGCAGGGAATGTTTCTGCTTCAACACATTCGATATGTGAATGAGCGGTGACCGAGTACGGTTCATGACTGCAATAACCATGCCCCACATCTGATCCCCAATGGCTTCTAAAGTGCGGGCCCTCCACTTGCCCATTTTGATAGTGAATTCTTTGGTCTCTTCAATGCTGAGTTCATTCGGATTTGCTGGCTGTTTCTGTTTCTGTCTCTTTTTGGAAGTATCATCACCTTCTCCTGCTGGTTTGGCAGAACCACTGGCGGCTGTCACTTTGGCATGCCGAATGGTTGCTGTGACAGATACAGCGCCACTCCAAGCTTCAGCTTTGCAAGCCATCAAAGATCCAGAAAGTTCATTGGCATCAACCCACTTGCGCGTCAACACTTCTGACACGCAAGCAGCCAATTCAGAGAATCCAGCATTAATAATCCGATCTTCCAGCTCTTGAATTCGACCCCATCTTTGCGATACAGGACGTGGGAAAAGAGTCTTCACTGCCTCTTTTGCTCTCTTTGCCCCAAATTTGTTCGAGTAGGATTCATACAGTGAACGTGCTTGATCTCGACAAGTGTGTGAAAACATGGCTAAAGAGGACCAATATTTCCAATTCGTAAACCCTTCCAGAAACTCATCGACGAGAAGCAAACTTGACATGACTACCAAGTGTGGCGCATGCTCCAAACAGTCTTGTTGAAAATAGTAAATGTTTGGGCAGTCCATGATTTCAGCTGCAATCAATCTACGCGCCAGCTGTTCATTTGCACCCCCGTCAGTCGTCGCCATGTAAACATGGTCTGTCAGCAGCGTGGCATACCTGAGTGTGGTGTCTGACATATTGCTGTTGTGGTTACTCATGATGTTATTGTAAACACAACCATGCAGCATAACAATCAAATTCATAGTGATTGGCAAAGTAAGGAGAAACAAGAGAACTTAAGCAAGAACCCTGGGTAATTAGACAAAGGAACTCTGAAAGTGTTTCTTGCTTTTCCTTCACAGCTCTCCAAGAGGGGCATGCTAACGAATCAAATCCCCGCAAAGTGATTCCAACACATCCAATGCCTGTCTCGTCCCCGACTGGCATCAAATCTGCCAATCTCTTCAACCGAAAGAAATCTTCCCATCTCAAATGTTCTGATTCTTCTGGAGAAACATTGGAAATGTATGCGGAATCCAACTCCATTGCACAAACTTTGCGACGACCATTGGTAGCATCCTGTCTATATGAGTGGAAGCAAATTGAGAAACCACTGTTCCTCTCATCAAAGACCTGTGAAACCATCACATCAAAATGATTCCGGGCTCCTGCAATCAAACTCGCTCCGCAACGCATCTCGCATCTTGACACTGTTTGCTGTGCAACATCTTCGCAAATGACCTTGCCAAAATCTCTTTGGGATATGTTGCTCATATTCCGCCGTACCTATATCAGCTGCACAGAGATTAGGAAAGTTACCCTTCAAACCAACAACTACCATATGGATAAACTACTCAAAAAGGGAACCAAAATGCTGACCCTCCCCCCAAAAAATGCACACATAGGAACAGAACTTGTAACACAAAAACGGATGATGTTCTGAACAAGTTGCCGCAACATTTGCTTGGCCCAAGGGAGTAATCCAGCTCCACTTTTTCTCAGAATCAACCCATGTGCTATCACGCCGTTCAATGTCAAAGTCCCTCCGGCTCCTCAACACTTCAACCTCTTTTGTCCAGTTTTCCTGCTGCTTTGCGATTTTGTCATGGGCACGTCGCAATCCCTGTTGCAGCTGTCGTTTCTGAGAACGCAATTTGGCAATTTCAAGCTCTTTACCTTTCAGAAGTTTCAACAAAGACTCCACATCAAGTTCCCCTTGGGCCCCTTCAACACTGATGTTGCTTGTCGTACCCACATTGTTTCGCAAGACTCTTTGCATCTGAGTTTTTTGCTGACGGTTTATGGGTTCTGGTGTCTCCAACATTTCCCCGCCAGAAACCATCCTGCAATCTTTAGACCCTTTGTCTGTGATTTCAAGACTGGAAGAACAACTACTGTGGTCCGCCGTCGGATCTGTGAATGGCATCATTTCAGAATCACTCATGCTGTCATGGTCCGAAGAAACAGTGCTCTGCAAAAAATCTTCCAGTTCACTCGGCTGGACTCTGATGCCCAGAAGGTCAAACAAAATCATGACTACCACTCCTGCATGGTATAGCACCTCATCTTCACTTGGCGCTGTGTCAGGGTCCGAAACAATTTCAAAATGCCGAGCGGTTGATTGACAAAACCGAGAAAACCGTCTCCAACCAGATACATTGGACTGTGTGCAAAGAGTGGTCCAAAACTCATTCAATGCATCATGACCAATGCAGTATCCTCTCTCAGATTTCTTCACATTGGACGACAGAAATGATCGCAAATTCGGAGGCACTGCTTGCATGGCTTTGCCGTGTGGAATGCAAGTCACTGCAGTGAATTAAACCTTGCACATGTCATCCGTGTTGGTTAACATAATCCTTGTTAGTATATTGTTGAAACCCTGTCCCGAAGAGTAGCATTCTTCTTGTAGTTGCTGCCCAAAAGGTAGAGCACTGGGAATTGTTCCCTACCAAACCCTGAGGTGTTGTAGTATTTCTGTGTGCGCATGAATGCATTGTTCCCTACACAGGCTAGTTTGTCACCCATTTTTTTGTATGCACACGAAAACTGAGGAGCTAGACACAATGAATTCCATAATTTTATGTTTTCTATCTTGACTGCTGCTGTCTTCTTCTCACTGCCAAACTGACAAAATAAGCAAACATGGTTATTGGATGTTGCAATGGCATTTCATTCACATACGTAAATTCATACATGGTATTGGCATCTTGCCTGATGAACAGTGCGAACCAATTTTTCAATCATGTTGCCCCTACCATGATATGTGGGGTACTTACCATCTCTAGCAATCATTAAGGTATCATCCATGCTGGAATTACAGTGTGTCCACCCCGCGTCCATCATCATGAGCCTGATGAAAGGCAACTGCATTTTCCAGCTGCAATGAAGACGTGATGTAAAAACTAAATCCACATGTAACTAGTTTTTCTTTCCAAAATCTTTTCCAACTCCAAAATGGTTCAATGGCTGGAGTAAGCATTCACAGCAAAACGTGCTCCTGAGTTCAAACTGGGAGATGAAAACCTGAAACCACCACCCAAAAAAAATGGTTGACCACGTACGTTGAGCAACTCACATTCAATAAAATCGAATTCTGAAAAGTAAGAACACGGTTCTTTGATCTGAAAAACTATTGGTGAAACTGCAAATAAAATAGCAGTCAAAGAGCAACACGCCTACCACGCAGCAATCAAATTGTATTGTTCCTAGTACATGTACCCAAACACTTGAGCACATTCACCGAATCATTTGGCATCAAGACATAGGCCACATTGGATGTTACGAACTACTACTACAACTACAACTACAACTACACAACAACTACAACTAGAACTAGAACTACAACTACAACAACTACAGCTACAGCTACAGCTACAGCTACAACAACAACAACAACAACAACAACTACAAGTACAAGTACAACAACAACAACAACTACTACAACTACAACTACAACTGCAACAACTACAACAACAACAACAACTACTACTACTACTACAACTACACTACACAACAACTACAACCACACAACAACTACAACTACAACAACAACAACAACAACTACAACTACAAAACAACTACAGCTACAACCATATGACTGCAACTACACTACACTAATTACATTACACCACAACTACAACTCCACTACGCTACAACTACAACTACAGTTGCAGTACATCACACTACATCCAGCAGTTGTGGGTGAGGTGACCACTGCAACCATTGCAGCCATTCCAGCAAACACAACTCCAACCACCTTTCGGTCAATCAGTGGCTTCGCTCTGCCATCCCTGATTCACAACAACCAACTTCTCCTATAGGTTTCCTATTTTTGAAACTTCCGCCACCGCCTTGTGCGGACTACTGGTAATTATATTTGGTCTTGCAAATTTCTTCCCGCCGTCAGCTACTTCCAGGGGATCAATTCCATCGTCGGTTCTTCTCATAGTTCCCCCAGTGTGCTTCACCCTTCACCTGCACACAGCTGAGCACGAGGCAAAATAAGCTACATGGCAGCCGCCGCACGCAACACCCCACGCTACACTACACGCAACACTACATGCTACACTACACGCAACACTGCCGAAATGCTGCAAGGGGCAGCATTTCGGGTCAGGACAGAAAAATCGTCTTGTATTTTCATTTCATTCCTTAAAAGCATCAAAGCTCCAAAATGCTGCCCCTGCCAGCAGTTCGGTAGTGTTGCGTGTAGTGTAGCATGTAGTGTTGCGTGTAGTCTAGCGTGTAGTGTTGCGTGGGGCTGCCACGCAACACTGGTCACTTTCATGAGCTTCTTTGAAAAGGATTCTGCTTCCTCCCTCCTCCTGGTCCGGCAACCATTTTCTGGCATGCCAGCGCCGCTTTGCCCAGCTTGTGTTGCAATATAGTCAAATTTAAATGCAGCAGGCTACATGACTTTTAATTCAAACATTACTGATCTGACCGGCTACTGCATAATGCGAAGAAAAAAAGGAAGTCTTGTAATTATATTTGGTCATGCAAATTTCTTCCCGCCGTCAGCTACTTCCAGGGGATCAATTCCATCGTCGGTTCTTCTCATAGTTCCCCCAGTGTGCTTCACCCTTCACCTGCACACAGCTGAGCACGAGGCAAAAAAAGCTACATGGCAGCCGCCGCACGCAACACTGCAAACCACCCGCAACACCCACGCTACACTACACGCAACACTACGTGCTACACTACACGCAACACTTGCCGAAATGCTGCCAGGGGCAGCATTTTTCGGGTCAGGACAGAAAAATCGTCTTGTATTTTCATTTCATTCCTTAAAAGCATCAAAGCTCCAAAATGCTGCCCTTGCCAGCAGTTCGGTAGTGTTGCGTGTAGTGTAGCATGTAGTGTTGCGTGTAGTGTAGCGTGTAGCCCCACGCAACACTGGCCACTTTCATGAGCTTCTTTGAAAAGGATTCTGCTTCCTCCCTCCTCCTGGTCCGGCAACCATTTTCTGGCATGCCAGCGCTGCTTTGCCCAGCTTGTGTTGCAATATAGTCAAATTTAAATGCAGCAGGCTCCATGACTCTTAATTCAAACATTACTGATCTGACCGGCTACTGCATAATGGCCAAAACATCCTTCAGCTTCTGCCCACTGCTTCTTTCCAGTTCTTCACCCAGAGACATAAAATTTCAGTACTAAGAAAATTACTTTACTTCGTGTGATCCCCACCATGACATTTATAGATTTTCTTACTGGCAAATCTTCTGGCATTCTATCTGACATATCTTCTGGCATTCTATCTGGCATTCTATCTGGCATATCTTCTGGCATATCTGGCATCTGGCATTCTATCTGGCAAATCTTCTGGCATTCTATCTGGCATATCTTCTGGCATTCTATCTATCTGACATATCTTCTGGCATTCTATCTCTCTGATCTGGCATATCTTCTGGCATTCTATCTGACATATCTGGCATTCATCTGGCATCTATCTGGCATTCTATCTGACATATCTTCTGGCATTCTATCTGGCATATCTGACATATCTTCTGGCATTCTATCTGGCATTCTATCTGGCATATCTTCTGGCATATTCTATCTGGCATATCTTCTGGCATATCTATTCTATCTGGCAAATCTTCTGGCATTCTCTGGCATATGGCATATCTTCTGGCATATATTCTGACATATCTTCTGGCATTCTATCTGACATATCTTCTGGCATATATTCTGACATATCTTCTGGCATATCTTCTGGCATTTCTATCTGGCATATCTTCTGGCATATTTTCTGGCATTCTATCTGGCAAATCTTCTGGCATTCTATCTGGCATTCTATCTGGCATATCTTCTGGCATATTATCTGGCATTCTATCTGGCATATCTTCTGGCATATATTCTGACATATCTTCTGGCATTCTTTCTGGCATTCTATCTGGCAATCTAATCTGCCCAAATCTGATGCAATTCTATCTGGCATATCTGCGACATTTACTGACATATCTCGGCATTCTATATGGGACATATCTTCTGGCATTCTTTCTGGCATTCTATCTGGCAATCTATTTGGCATTCTATCTGGCATATCTTCTGGCATATCTTCTGACATTCTTTCTGACATTCTTTCTAACTTTCTTCTGCACATTCTTTGTCCCATATCTTCCTACATGAGGTCCGGCAGGGAACACTTGGCGTGGATACTCGCGGTTGAGGTCCGGCAGGGAACACTTGGCATGGATCCTCGCGGTTGAGGTCCGGCAGGGAACACTGGGCGTGGATGGTCGTGGTTCAGGTCCGGCAGGGAACACTGGGCCCGGATACTCGCGGTTGAGGTCCGGCAGGGAACACTGGGCGTGGATGGTCGTGGTTGAGGTCCGGCAGGGCACACTGGGCGTGGATGGTCGTGGTTGAGGTCCGACAGAGAACACTGTGGATCGCGGGTCGCAGTTGGACGAGGAGGACGACGAGGACGAGGAGGACGAAGAGGAGAGGAGGAGAGGAGGAGGAGGAGGAGGACGAGGCAGGAGGAGGCAACTGACATAAAATCTAACAACCCTCACCTGGCAGGTGGGGAAAAAAGGGATTCTTGTATATTTGGTCTTGCAAATTTCTTCCCGCCGTCAGCTACTTCCAGGGGATCAATTCCATCGTCGGTTCTTCTCATAGTTCCCCCAGTGTGCTCCACCCTTCACCTGCACACAGCTGAGCACGAGGCAAAATAAGCTACATGGCAGCCGCCGCACGCAACACTGCAAACCACCCGCAACACTACACGCTACACTACACGCAACACTACACGCTACACTACACGCAACACTGCCGAAATGCTGCCAGGGGCAGCGTTTCGGGTCAGGTATTTTCATTTCATTCCTTAAAAGCCTCAAAGCTCCAAAATGCTGCCCCTGCCAGCAGTTCGATAGTGTTGCGTGCAGTGTAGCGTGCAGTGTAGCGTGTAGTGTTGCGTGTAGTGTAGCGTGTAGTGTTGCGTGGGGCTGCCACGCAACACTGGTCACTTTCATGAGCTTCTTTGAAAAGGATTCTGCTTCCTCCCTCCTCCTGGTCCGGCAACCATTTTCTGGCATGCCAGCGCTGCTTTGCCCAGCTTGTGTTGCAATATAGTCAAATTTAAATGCAGCAGGCTCCATGGCTTTTAATTCAAACATTACTGATCTGACCGGCTACTGCATAATGGCCAAAACATCCTTCAGCTTCTGCCCACTGCTTCTTTGCAGTTCTTCACCCAGGGACATAAAATTTCAGTACGAAGAAAAGGAATTCTTGTATATTTGGTCTTGCAAATTTCTTCCCCGCCGTCAGCTACTTCCAGGGGATCAATTCCATCGTCGGTTCTTCTCATAGTTCCCCCAGTGTGCTTCACCCTTCACCTGCACACAGCTGAGCACGAGGCAAAATAAGCTACATGGCAGCCGCCGCACGCAACACTGCAAACCACCCGCAACACCCACGCTATACTACACGCAACACTACATGCTACACTACCCGCAACACTGCCTCAGAACAGAAAAAAATCGTCTTGTATTTTCATTTCATTCCTTAAAAGCATCAAAGCTCCAAAATGCTGCCCCTGCCAGCAGTTCGGTAGTGTTGCGTGTAGTGTTGCGTGTACTGTAGCGTGTAGTGTTGCGTGGGGCTGCCACGCAACACTGGTCACTTTCATGAGCTTCTTTGAAAAGGATTCTGCTTCCTCCCTCCTCCTGGTCCGGCAACCATTTTCTGGCATGCCAGCGCTGCTTTGCCCAGCTTGTGTTGCAATATAGTCAAATTTAAATGCAGCAGGCTCCATGACCTTTAATTCAAACATTACTGATCTGACCGGCTACTGCATAATGCCCAAAACATCCTTCAGCTTCTGGCCACTGCTTCTTTCCAGTTCTTCACCCAGAGACATAAAATTTCAGTACTAAGAAAAAAAGGAATTCTTGTATATTTGGTCTTGCAAATTTCTTCCCGCCGTCAGCTACTTCCAGGGGATCAATTCCATCGTCGGTTCTTCCCATAGTTCCCCCAGTGTGCTTCACCCTTCACCTGCACACAGCTGAGCACGAGGCAAAATAAGCTACATGGCAGCCGCTGCACGCAACACTGCAAACCACCCGCAACACCCACGCTACACTACACGCAACACTACACGCAACCCTGAGAAATGCTGCCAGGGGCAGCATTTCGGGTCAGAACAGAAAAAATCGTCTTGTATTTTGATTTCATTCCTTAGAAGCATCAAAGCTCCAAAATGCTGCCCCTGCCAGCAGTTCGGTAGTGTTGCGTGTAGTGTAGCGTGTAGTGTTGCGTGTACTGTAGCGTGTAGTGTTGCGTGGGGCTGCCACGCAACACTGGTCACTTTCATGAGCTTCTTTGAAAAGGATTCTGCTTCCTCCCTCCTCCTGGTCCGGCAACCATTTTCTGGCATGCCAGCGCTGCTTTGCCCAGCTTGTGTTGCAATATAGTCAAATTTAAATGCAGCAGGCTCCATGACTCTTAATTCAAACATTACTGATCTGACCGGCTACTGCATAATGGCCAAAACATCCTTCAGCTTCTGCCCACTGCTTCTTTGCAGTTCTTCACCCAGGGACATAAAATTTCAGTACCAAGAAAAAAGGAATTCTTGTATATTTGGTCTTGCAAATTTCTTTCGGCCGTCAGCTACTTCCAGGGGATCAATTCCATCGTCGGTTCTTCTCATAGTTCCCCCAGTGTGCTTCACCCTTCACCTGCACACAGCTGAGCACGAGGCAAAATAAGCTACATGGCAGCCGCCGCACGCAACACTGCAAACCACCCGCAACACCCACGCTATACTACACGCAACACTACACGCTACACTACACGCAACACGGCCGAAATGCTGCCAGGGGCAGCATTTCGGGTCAGGACAGAAAAATCGTCTTGTATTTTCATTTCATTCCTTAAAAGCATCGAAGCTCCAAAATGCTCCCCTTGCCAGCAGTTCGGTAGTGTTGCGTGTAGTGTAGCGTGTAGTGTTGCGTGTAGTGTAACGTGTAGTGTTGCGTGTAGTGTTGCGTGGGGCTGCCACGCAACACTGGTCACTTTCATGAGCTTCTTTGAAAAGGATTCTGCTTCCTCCCTCCTCCTGGTCCGGCAACCATTTTCTGGCATGCCAGCGCTGCTTTGCCCAGCTTGTGTTGCAATATAGTCAAATTTAAATGCAGCAGGCTCCATGACCTTTAATTCAAACATTACTGATCTGACCGGCTACTGCTTAATGGCCAAAACATCCTTCAGCTTCTGCCCACTGCTTCTTTGCAGTTCTTCACCCAGGGACATAAAATTTCAGTACTGTTGATGGAAGAAATCCTGCACCACTTTCAAAGGCCCACACTTGAAACCTCGCGCTCCTAATTTATTATTGTGTGACGACACAGTGATCAAAATGGATTTGTGCGAGTGACGGAAATCCTGCACCACCTGTTAACATGTCTTTCAACATTGAGCTTGGGGGTGCGGGGGTACAAGTTATGCATTAGCAAATGTAAGCTTATAGAGGTGGTGCAGGATTTCTTCCACCCACCGTAGGACTGGGAAGTAAACTCTTCCCAGTTTTTGGGGATGGGTTGAACTAACTCAAATGAACTAAAGACAAGATATTAAATACATGATACATAATCATTATACATATGCGGATATGTACAGATACATATAATTACACACACACATATATATATATACATTGTTACATACAGAAAATCCTAATGGCTCATGTAAAAAAAAGGTGAATTTAACCATTGAAAAGGGGAAACTATGGGAAACTAGCAAAATAATATTAAATAATAACAATCTTGTTCGAACTCATAATAGCAAAATGACAATATGTTTTTGCTTCAAGTTTTTTTGTTTGTTTTTGAACTGTTTTTAATCAATAAAATGAGGATTTTAACCAGAACATGTCGGTTGTTTTACCTTTCTTTTAATGGACATGGAGCAAAGGCAACTTTTCAGTTTTGTGGTCATGACAATGTCAGTTGGGATGATTATTCCCAATATATGGAAAAATGGAAAATGTTCCAAACCATCAATCAGATGTCCGATGCTTTCGGATGTTTTCAGTGAACCCCCTGTTGCCGCTAATTGACCCTGGCCACCACTATCGCACAATGCACCTAAATAGATCGTGCGCGCGTCCCAACTTTGGCAAACATTGGGTCGTTATGAGGCTCCACATGAGGGGGGGGGGCGAAATTGGGTAGCCCTTAAGCACAAAAATAGCATGAAAAAACTATGACAGTAGGATATGCCCCATGGTTCAAATGAAAGCCTCCCCTTATCTCCGATTTACGTGAGCTTTCATGGGTCAAAATCGCTCGAACCAGCAGCTGATTGATTCTTTTTCTCTCATCCGTTCATTCCCAGCGCATCCATGATTTTGCCTCTGACGTCAAGATGTATTTTCACCTCATCCACTTTTGGAAACTCTTCTTCTGGCACTGGAAGATGCAAGAAATGCGTCAAAGGGGCCCAACCATCGGACCAGTTGTAGACCAACAACTTCTCGGGCGGAATGACTTGCTGCACACGCTCAATGTGTCTCTCATAGTTTTGCAGGCACGTCTCCTTTCTGGATGCATAGTCCGCCTCTGTTTGATTCTGGGCATGGTATACGAAATGGCACCCCCATGACCTCATGCCAGTACAATTTTGATGATAAAAGGGCCTGCCGTCAGTAGGTGATTCATGCGCACGCTGGTAGCGATGCTCGAGGTCCACGTAGTTGTTGAACCAGCTTTCAGCATCGGAAATCGTCAGCAGAAATTTGGCCTCAGGAAAGGCTGCCATGATTTCCTCGTAAAGGAGCATGTATGGTTCATCCATGGCTGCGTCAAATCCACTCAGGGTGGCAAGCGCATCATCCAGTGAGCGATTGCCAGAAGCATTGCCAAAAAGATATCCACATAGTGGTTCCTGGGATTTGCTTAAGATGGTCCCCAAATATTCATCGATTCTCCCTTTTATATCTATATATATATATCTATGGTGGATTTTAATCCCAGTCAGAAATCAAAAATCAGCACCGATTTCAGCAACTCAAAGCATCACGTGACGTGAGGTCGTATCCGCTGTGGCGTGGCTTCAACCCCAGCATCTTAAAGGCGGCATACATCGACTGGGTGCCAGTGCGTGGAGCTCCGACGTCCAGCAGCTGGAAGGCATTCGCTGAGCTAATGAGGACAACGGAGAAGCCGAGGCTCAGGAGAGTTGCCATGTATGAAAAACAGGGCAGGAAGTTGTGCCCTAAGCCTGCGTGAGCCAAAAATGGATAAAAATGGAAGGAAAGGGTAGGCGGAGGAAGGAATCCCATGACAAATCAACTCATGGCAGTGGTTCAATTGTGCAACCAACAAAATTTTGGGCCCCAAAGGCCACAACACACAGTTGATAATGGCAAAAAGGAAAACTGAGCTGAAACTAAGCTAGTGATTGAACCAGCAGTTCCCAAAAACACCCCAGGATCCAACCTGTAAGTCACATTGAGGATTTGATATAAGCGGCAACGCCTGGAAGTGAAACATGCCAATGACTTGCAGGAAGGCCCCCCAGTTCGATACACGATCCTAGTGGCAAACGTTATGTACTAATTGAGCAAACGGTCAGGTTTATGGCAAAGATTAATCATGATTGGTGTTGTAAACCAAAAAAACGACGGCTAGGACTGGGAAGTAAACTCTTCCCAGTTTTGGGGGATGGGTTGAACTAACTCAAACGAACTAAAGACAAGATATTAAATACATGATACATAATTATTATACATATGCGGATATGTACAGATACATATAATTACACACATACATATATATATATATACACATTGTTACATACAGAAAATCCTAATGGCTCATGTAAAAAAAAAGGGTGAATTTAACCATTGAAAAGGGGAAACTATGGGAAACTAGCAAAATAATATTAAATAATAACAATCTTGTTCGAACTCATAATAGCAAAATGACAATATGTTTTTGCTTCAAGTTTTTTGTTTGTTTTTGAAATGTTTTTAATCAATTAAAATGAGGATTTTAACCAGAACATGTCGGTTGTTTTACCTTTCTTTTAATGGACATGGAGCAAAGGCAACTTTTCAGTTTTGTGGTCATGACAATGTCAGTTGGGATGATTATTCCCAATATATGGAAAAATGGAAAATGTTCCAAACCACCAATCAGATGTCCGATGCTTTCGGATGTTTTCAGTGAACCCCCTGTTGCCGCTAATTGACCCTGGCCACCACTATCGCACAATGCACCTAAATAGATCGTGCGCGCGTCCCAACTTTGGCAAACATTGGGTCGTTATGAGGCTCCACATGAGGGGGGGGGGCGAAATTGGGTAGCCCTTAAGCACAAAAATAGCATGAAAAAACTATGACAGTAGGATATGCCCCATGGTTCAAATGAAAGCCTCCCCTTATCTCCGATTTACGTGAGCTTTCATGGGTCAAAATCGCTCGGACCAGCAGCTGATTGATTCTTTTTCTCTCATCCGTTCATTCCCAGCACATCCATGATTTTGCCTCTCACGTCAAGATGTATTTTCACCTCATCCACTCTTGGAAACTCTTCTTCTGGCACTGGAAGATGCAAGAAATGCGTCAAAGGGGCCCAACCATCGGACCAGTTGTAGACCAACAACTTCTCGGGCGGAATGACTTGCTGCACACGCTCAATGTGTCTCTCATAGTTTTGCAGGCACGTCTCCTTTCTGGATGCATAGTCCGCCTCTGTTTGATTCTGGGCATGGTCTACGAAATTGCACCCCCATGACCTCATGCCAGTACAATCTTGATGATAAAAGGGCCTGCCGTCAGTAAGTGATGCATGCGCACGCTGGTAGCTATGCATGATGTCCACGTAGTTGTTGAACCAGCTTTCAGCATCGGAAATCGTCAGCAGAAATTTGGCCTCAGGAAAGGCTGCCATGATTTCCTCGTAAAGGAGCATGTATGGTTCATCCATGGCTGCGTCAAATCCACTCAGGGTGGCAAGCGCATCATCCAGTGAGCGATTGCCAGAAGCATTGCCAAAAAGATATCCACATAGTGGTTCCTGGGATTTGCTTAAGATGGTCCCCAAATATTCATCGATTCTCCCTTTTATATCTATGGTGGATTTTAATCCCAGTGAGAAATCAAAAATCAGCACCGATTTCAGCAACTCAAAGCATCACGTGCCGTGAGGTCGTATCCGCTGTCGCGTGGCTTCAACCCCAGCATCTTAAAGGCGGTATACATCGACTGGGTGCCAGTGCGTGGAGCTCCTACGTCCAGCAGCTGGAAGGCATTCGCTGAGCTAATGAGGACAACGGAGAAGCCGAGGCTCAGGAGAGTTGCCATGTATGAAAAACAGGGCAGGAAGTTGTGCCCTAAGCCTGCGTGAGCCAAAAATGGATAAACATGGAAGGAAAGGTTAGGCCAGGCGGAGGAAGGAATCCCATGACAAATCAACTCATGGCAGTGGTTCAATTGTGCAACCAACAAAATTTTGGGTCCCAATGGCCACAACACACAGTTGTTAATGGCAAAAAGGAAAACTAAGCCGAAACTAAGCTAGTGATTGAACCAGCAGTTCCCAAAAAACACCCCAGGATCCAACCTGTAAGTCACATTGAGGATTTGATATAAGCGGCAACGCCTGGAAGTGAAACATGCCAATGACTTGCAGGAAGGCCCCCCAGTTCGATATACGTTCCTAGTGGCAAACGTTAAATACTAATTGAGCAAACGGTCAGGTTTATGGAAAAGATTAATCATGATTGGTGTTGTAAACCAAAAAAACGACGGCTAGGACTGGGAAGTAAACTCTTCCCAGTTTTTGGAGATGGGTTGAACTAACTTAAATGAACTAAAGACAAGATATTAAATAAATAATACATAATTATTGTACATATGCGGATATGTACAGATACATATACATACATATATATATACATACACATGTGTATATATATATACATGTGTATATACATATATATACAAATATATATATATATACATACAGAAAATCCTAATGGCTCATGTTTCCCATGGGTGTTTGGCTGATGATCACGACGCGCGGGCAACATTTTCTTAGCCCCTCACCGGCACTGCAGATACCTGGTGCACAACCTGTCCGAGCTCAGGAGGACAGATCCATTAAGTCCAGGCCAAAAAACCAACCTTTGACAAAACAACCATAGGAAAACCATAGGAAAATGGTGGTTTAATGGTGGTTTAATGGGGTTTAACCAACAAAATGGTGGTTTTAATGGGATATACCCTCTGGTTATGACTAACATAGCCATGGTATAGATGGCCCATAGAAATAGATGGTTTACCGTTCTTAAAAATGGTGATTTTCCATGGCTATGTTAGTCATAACCAGATGGTAAATACATTGGTTTTGGGCACCCAGTCCCAAAAAACGTAAGAATAGCCCTGAAGTGTGGAATCTGAGCCTTTCCTTGCGGAAAGGTAGGCTTAAAAGTTGCGTCATGAAGTTAGCATTGGGGGTCACGCCAACAAGATAGAAAAGTGATGGCCGTGTCACTAGACATTTCCATCGCATGTCAAAGAAAACTCGGTTCCCAACACCAGACATGAACATTCCAGTTTTAATGTTGGGATGTGATGATGTTACATTATCTCACATTCGTGCCTAAAGAGCACCACCACAAAGAAGTAGACACGACAATTCTCATTAACACTTATTCAGTGGTAAGTCGAACGTTTATAAACAGGTTCAGTTTTGTGTCAGGCCTTTCCAAAAGTGAATTCCCATCATGTTGCTTTGGATGTTATTAAGCATATTGTCCTATCAACACCAAGCACATTAACCAGGAATCGCGCCTGAACCATCGCCGGTGAGTGCAGAGTAGGAACACCTGTGACCAGGGGCCGTCTGTCTGTAGCCACTGGGAATCAAAGGTGGCTATGGAACATGCCCCATTTTCAATGAGTTTCCCATTTGGTTTCCTAAAATGGGGGGCACTCCAACATGGAAGGTTTATTTCATGGACATACCTATTAACATGTTTTCATAAATAGTGGTATGGCCCAATATGCTTGGTTTATAATAGAAAATCTTACTAAAATGGATGATTTGGGGGTACCCCTATGACTGAGGATTTCCTGCCATTCACCCAGCAAAAATGCCACGGGATTTCCCAGATTCCCACCTTGCCATGTTAGGAAGTGCCATACCCCTTCTAGTGGTCGATGGGTCAAAACATGTTTAACTGGGTTGTCTTAAATGGGTCCCCAAACTGTCCCAAGGTGGCGGGTGATGATCATGAGACTTTTGGATCTTTTTGGGCATCTTATTTTAAAACAAACTAATGAATTCATATCAATTTTGCCCAAAAAATATAAATAAATATGTTTGAATTTGTAATGGTATATCATTAAAAAAACGTAAAATAAAATTTGTAGATGGTTTTTTCCTGGAAGGCCATGTTAGCTATCCAAAAGCACAACGCATCATCCCATCGGTGATCTCCCCAGGAGTCATGGCCAATCTTGGATGCTGACTCCTCCACGGCTGGTTGGGCAAAAATATTCTCGTCAAAGTGACCACAGATATCAAACAATTATATACTAGGTAAAAAATAGTAATTACAGATGATTAGGCTATTGGTTATACTTCATCCAAAATAACAAACAATGTCAAAAGATGAGCGTCCACACGCTTTACCCAGCTGCTCGAAAGCCGGGTGCTGAGCATTGGTGATATGAAAACTGCCAAGGCGATGACATCCCATCGCTCTGGAGGATCCCCAGAAGGAACCACAAACCCGTCGTTCCCGCTATCAAAAACAACATGTTGGCAAAGCAATAAGAAGTTTAAACCACCCTCTTATTGATGGTTGAGAGTTGAGAGCACCCAAATTTATGTTGAAATTGGGGATGGTTGATTATTGCTTTACTAACCTGACAATAATCCCAAAACTGCCCCCGAGCAATGCCCGGTGCCTCACGGTGAAGGTGCCAGTCCAGCCAGGCACCACCGAGGCACAAGTCCTGGCTCCAGTGGTGAAGGTTATCCCAAAGATCTACATTTTAGGGGTTAGTGATGGTTTCTGGTTGGATGTTGGTTTAATGTTGGTTTAATGGTGGTTTAATCATTGGTTTCTGGTTGGTTTAATGATGATTAATGGTGGCTAATGTTTCTGATGGTTAATGATGGTTAATCATTTTCACTTGGAATGTTATCCAGAGTTTTGAAACGACTCATAGAGAGGGAGGTATGTACATATACTGCTATACGTGCATATATATATAAATATTTATGTATTTGCAAATATTTGCCGTGAAACCAGCATCTTGGCACTAAACGCAAGAAAACATTCATTCATTCCATTCATGAATTTACCAAAAAATTGGAGTGGTGCTTGGCCAAGTCTGGTGGTAAAGAAGGTGACAAAAAAGCTAGCCGTACGGCACGAAATGCTTTGACAAACTGCCAGGGATTCGGATAGACCAAATCATTTAGTCACCGCCAGTATGTGCATGAAAAGCTAGAGCATGAGGTGTGAATCACAATGGCTTGGGGGCAAAACTAATAAGGCTTCCCTTGGAATTTAATGGAATAGAAGAAGCTATTAAAATTATAATCTTTTCACGGCAAAACCAATACGAATTGCGAGATAATTCCCAAATGAAGGGAGGTCCCAAGACCATGGTCAGTCTCACTTGAGGGTACCAAAATGTATCCAATGATTGTCTTGGGGGACCAGTATGTATCCAAATATCAAGTATTTGATACAACTATTTGCGGACAATAGCTCCATTGCATCATGTCTCTGGATGCACCCAATGGTTCTGGGACCATGATGTCCTAAACCATGTCTTGAAGCACGCACATTTTGAGGAAAATCTGGTGGACAAAGCCTGGCACCCGTAAACTCCAAACGTTTATCACAAGTTTCCCACTCGAAGCTCTCATCTTACGGTTTTTGACTTACTAGTATAGCCCATTTTCAGCCAGTGGAAGGTGGTAAACCCATTACAAGGTGAGGGCCCCAGCCTTACAAAAACGCAAAGTTGACGCACAGTTCACTTGATGAACTGTTGGCTTCATGGAGGATATAACGAACAAACGTTAACGGGTTTTAAAACAAACACTACATATTCAGTCCATGTAAAAAACAAATATATATTACTTACCATTTATCGCTGATAATCCCAATGATATCGTTATATCCGTGTCATAGTCCCATTGTATCCCACCGCGTTTACACTGCACCTGGTGGTGCTTTCCTCACTCGCCAGCGTTGCTGCCTGGGCTGAGCTTAATCCTCCCAGTTGGGATGTGGTCAATACACATGGGAAACCTATGGTTACTCTTCTCACTTAGTTGTAATAACTAGGTTGGTAAGCTACTGTAAGATGATGATAACGAGAATTGTCCGCACAGATTATAAATTATAAGTTACAGGTGATAAAAACAAATACTAGCTATATCTAGCTATGCTACTTTTCAGAAAAAGAGGCTACGATAGTGTAAGTAGTATACATTTATCACACATCACTTATTGTAGACTCCTAAGATGCTTGTAATAGACAGCGGTTATGGTTATAGAGGGTTCTACGGCCCGGCTTAGTGGTGTTGATTGAAACCCATGATAGGGACACCGAGACCTATCAACTCGTGTCTACAAGATGCCCCGACATACAACTTGGTTCTTAACCCTATCTAATCTAGAGATATATCTACCTTAAACCATCTTAAACCCAGCACTTGGCGTACTGAGCTAGTTGGACCTTGTTGCGAGCTTTCGTCCTCCACATGCTCCATGTATATGACGTTTCCCAGCATTTACACCTGCATGACCCACTCCTTGACAGGTTTGCAAAATGCTGTTGGAGAAATCATGGCAACTATGTATCCCATCATACTCCGTCGGGCACCTGCGCCAGCCCAACCCAACCAAGGCTCCAAAGTGGTATTGATTTCCTGGTTGTTGCATCGGTCTGGTGTGGCATTCTGAAAATGAAATGACTTGGTTCTGCCACCGGGGAAAGATGAATCATTGGGATTGCAGGGGTATCTACAAACAGAACATTGTAATATGTGGGTGTAAAAAACACCAAGAATCCGATGCTTCAAACTTCAAACTGAATATTATATATATAGATGTTATGTCTATAAGTCAACAAAAATAAAGCTATGTTTAGTTCAATAGATCGCTTTAAGGGAACTTACAGGAAACGCCAAAAAAATCAGAATTTCAGACAACAGCCTGTGCCACGTGCTGTTCCGCTTAAATCATCCCAATGGCAATCGCAAATACATGTTGAGCAGCAATTGAGCTTCCAAAACAACTATAATAACTATAGATAGACACCAAACCATGCTTTAGGTGCAACCCGGGATATTATAGGAATTGAATGGGATCGTTAAAGCATATTTAAGATATATTGATATATCCACGTAATGTAAACAAAAAAAGATTAAAACTTGTGGGATAAGAAAGGGGGTAGCCTCCGGTAATCTAACCTTGCACTGGCAGGTTTGTTTTCTGGAGCGTGCCTGGGACCTGAATGGGGGGGCCGAAGCCCAATCTATGTGGCCCGCTGGGATTAATTCTGACCACTGACATGCCTGACATAACTCCGTGAGTATGGCAATTTTTAAGCCTGAAGCCAACCAAAACTTTTATTAACAAACATCAATCGTATTATGTTGTTTTGAAAATTGCCATAAAGAAATCGTGGGTTAGCTCCCCCTTAAAATTATCCAATCATTCCACAAACTTCACTGCGATGCGGAACAGACTGGGCTTCCGGGCCCGACTTCCCAACTGCGCGAGGTAGCCGGCGCCAGCAACGCAACCTGTTTGGATGACGAGGGGACCGGCTGCAGCATGGATTCCATGAGTGATCAACCTACGGCTATGGATAGATTGGTTTTCCATGTCACATGTCTACATGGAAGATTCAGTGATATTTTGGAAGAGCAACTAAACTATCCATTTACGGCGAGGTCGCTGTGAGGTCGCCAGTTTTTTTCTGCACACACACATATATATTTATATGTTGTCTGAATAATGTTGGTGCTGATGAATTATGATAATTATGGAAAGCGGCTGGTATAAGAATCAACCCCTTATCCCTTCAATCTTGCATCATTTGGCACCAGGTCTTGGTTTCTAGGGTTGGGCCAACAGCAGGCTTCTTCATTCTTTGTCTATTAAAAATGGCTATAGGTGTGTAAATGAGATAGCCGAGCCCATAATGGTTGATGATAATTTCGTTGTATTTTCCATAATAAAATGAGCATAGTTAGCATCGAAATCACACGATATCGAACCCTCATTTCTTGAACAGAATCCATAGGATAGCCCTGGCATCAGTCCTCCCCGCCCTCCGCGCACCTCTGGGTCCACACCCAGAAGCGTCCAAGGTGTAGACCTCACCATTTTTTTGTTAATCCCTGAAGTTTTTTTTGGGGACTTCATGGCTTCAGACAGCTGTTGTTTTTGGCTACCTTGTTTCTACACATGCGCGAAACTTGGTGTTTCAACTTCAGAAATTTCACGTGCGCACGCACCTTTCTTCCGTAGACTTTGAGGGTTGAGTCAGTTGACTCAACAGGTTTTCAGGGTTGAGCCAATCAATACTGGCGAGTCAATTCATTCAAGCAACAAAAAGCTGATTTATACAACCAACAAAAAACGGTTTTCACAAGCGTAACATGTTTTCACCAGCTCAAGCGGGTCAACCAAAATCCGGAAGTTCCCTATCAATATTGGAGGCTCAATCAACTAAAACATCAATATACCGTTGGGCCCCATTGCAAACTACAGGGTAGAACCTGGAACAGCTTGAATTTCAAATGGCAGCTGCGTTTTTGATTCGCAATGTTGTTTTGAACTAATTGATTTATTTTCGGGAGTATTGTTCCAAGCTTGTGAAACATCCACGCGAAAAGCGTCTAAACAACGCCAAGGTCCAAACAAGACTTGCAAATATGATATCAGAGCCACTAGCTACTTGCATCCCCTACGGATCCAAATGCTTCCTGAGAAGGGACAATCCACCACCCTTTTCTCGTACAACAAAGAATCACAGAAGGTATGACTGCATCTATAGGGATCCTGTGCTATCATATATCTGCCTGGTGATTTATCGCAGGTTGTAAGTAGGATAGTTCACCCAAGTTATAATTGGACTAGCAAAATACTAGATTCCTAGCTATCACATGCTATCACATGGGTCATAACCCATTTACTGAGGTGAACCACCAAGCACTGCAAACATGCTGTCCGCTCCAACATATGGCGACAGGTTCACCATCACCACATTCTGCCCACTGAGGCGGTCTACGCCCATCTTGCACGAAACGCCTGGGCAGTGGCGGGGCTCCTTTCTTCGGGGCTCCATGGCTCCATGGGGCTCCATGGCTCCATATGCTGGTTATTGGGTGCATCACCGGACTTGCAAAAGGTAGAACAAAAAGATTTTAGTCGCAACCGCCCATCACTCACAATACCTGGTGTGTGTAGTTGTGTAGGAACATCTGCCACAGACGGCTGATGGTGATCCTCTTTGCGCACAGGAATGGAAAAGCAAACCTCCGAAAGCCAACCAGAATGCAGTCTGTTATTTGATCGGACATGCAATATTTCAAGGGGCCAAAGGATTTGCCAAACCACCTTCATGGGCAATCTTTTGCCAGTTCTAAGGCCTAAGGGCCTAAGGGGCTTAAGAAGTCATTGTCCATATCCAAGGGGAGTCCATGGAAGCCGTGCTGCCCTTGCCCTTGCTTTGCCTGCCAAAGAAATCTACGTCAATGGGCTACGTCAATTGAAGTCAATTGGGATCAAGCATCCAGGTTAGGACTGGGACAGAAGCATGGTATATCATTAACATGCATACGGGGGTTGTATTTGAGGCAAATGACTTAATCTGGAAACATACGGTCATAGTAGATGACAACAAATGATTGTAGATATATATAATACTGGTGGGTGGTTTCAACCCCTCTGAAACATATTAGTCAGTTGGGGTTACTATTCCCAAAATATGGAAAAATAAAAAATGTTCCAAACCACCAACCAATAATAGTAGATGGTCGTAGTCCGTGCCAATGCAGCACGAGCTCGCCCCGAACCAACAGGCCAATCGAGCTACAGCCAGAAGCCTCTGCACCATTTGAGGATTCCATCAGCCCCTGAAAAGGTGACCCCCCAATAACAGCTGGTGACACAATGTTAATAAGATCTTCTTGGTGCTTATTGGCAGTTCATGAGTCCCTATGAAATTGGTGGTGACCTTTGGCCAGGGGTTGCTTGAATCCACATGAAATTTGTTCCTCTAGAGCTGGGAAGGACATCCAAGGAATGGCCAGCTCCAAAACCGGCCGTCCCAAAACCCTTGTTGGTCAAGGTACTCGCCGTGCCATCAATGGTGCTATTGAAGGCCTCGGGTGCAGACTGGTTGGTGATTAAAAGGGTAGACAAGAGCCCCAAAAAATCATATGGTTTGGTTCGAAAATTGGATTTACCACCAGAACAACCAGAGACATGGGAAAGCCCAACTGATCACAATGCCATCGCCAAGCCAACCGTTGTTGGCAACGATGTGGATCATCACGCTGTACGAGAGGAAGCCAGCCGCGATGTGTGTGGTCGCCACATTGGCGCCGCTCACCTCATCCGGCACCCATCCTACGGTGTAGGCTTGGATCCATTGCAGGAACTCCTGCGCGGTGACGCCACCCATGTTAAAGATCTGGCTGTTGGTCCCCACAGTCGTGGTCACCGCTCGCGGCGTTGGGGGGCATGGGAATGTCGCGCGATCAGGCGCAGGACGCTATCCCTGATCTCGTGGGATGTGGAGCTTTTCCATGGCAAGTCGTGGACCCCCTGCAGAACATATCTTTACACTGGTTAGTGTTTCCCCACCATTTCCAGCAAGAGAAATCAAACAAAAAACGCGAAGTATCCATCCAAAGTTGATCAGACTATATAAGGTTGACACCTGGTGATAAGTTGGACTCCGAGATCTTGGGGGTAAGTCACTAAGTTAGTCATCTTGACCCCGAAGATCGAGGGTTTCAAACCTCCAGCTACCTCCGGTTTCCAAAGCTTGGCCCAGGTGCTCCACAGTTGATGCTCTGAGCATAGTCGCTGGGCCTCACCAAGGAGTCAAGGAGGTCATGTTACATCCACATGTTTGTGGTCCGATCCGATTTCTCAAACTAAATGTGGCAACTGAAGTTATAAATCTATAAACAACTAAATGTTATAATAATAATTAATCCAATATAACTAAATGTTACATCCATATGTTTGTTATAAATAACTGAAATCAAATAAATAATTTGGCAACTGAAATTCCCCTGCTACGAATTCCAATTGGGTTTAGACAATATTCCATTGGTTTAGCAAACCAGCCTCCGGCTTATTTCCTCTCACCAAACTCGGCAACTAAACCACCAAATTGAAAACTGCTAGATAATCTTGCATTGCTATAGGTGATATCATAACCAGAGGGTACCATATTTGGGATATCATCACCCAAACTGCATCAATGCTTATCTGTAGTCACCTTAATCCCCATGATTAAGAGCTGTTAGCATGGTTCTTACCCATGGTCACCTCCCAACAGTCGCTCGCCCCATGGATCCCTTGGTCGTAGCTCAATCCCGGGCCCCCAAGCGTTCGTGAGTGGAGACCCAGGTTGGTGCCACTCAACCTCGGCTTGTCGATGACAAAGTGTGAAGCATGGTTGCAACCATAAATAATGATATTATATTTTCTAATGGACACAGTTTGCAATAATGCAATAATAATGATAGTTTTAATATTTGCAACATGGCTGAGATAATCATCAAACTTGCCATTTTATCACAATGAGATGCTAAGCTGCTCAAATCCGGCAGGTTTGAGACATCGCAGCTGTGACTGCTGAGCAGCCTGCAACCTGGTTTATGTCAAACTTTAACACCCAAAGAAATCCAAGAAACAATTCTCCAAATAGAGTTCTTGAGCAAAGAGATGAATCAAACATTGCTCAAAATTATCCCATTTGGGTTTGTTGAAAAAATGAAAAATAGTGGTTGTTTCTTCAAACATGCGTTCACCTTGGGGCAAACCACCCGGAAAAATCGTGTCCCACAGCTGCCGCCCATGTCACTGAAAAACACCAAGGGGCGAGATGGTCATTTGATTCCGATCTGTGAGGGTGATCGACCTGGCTCTGCTTGATCATAGTCCGAAGATCCTGTAGGAATTCGATATATTCTCGATACATACATATATAAATATATATACATACACATGCATACATACACACATATCACACGCACACACGTATGTATATATATATATATATATATATATATATGGATGTATACATATACATACATACACGCACACATATATATATATATATACATGATAAATATGTATGTGCATGACTGTGGTAAGGTTAGAAGATATAAAACTACGATGCATGCAAACAGACGTATTGATATGTGCGCAACATGCTGTATGTATACATTTATCTCTGTCGGTCTCTCCACGCAAATGTCTAAATTATATGATGCTGTCTCATTCCCATATCTTTCCCACACTTCCCTCTCCACAGAATAATCGTGAAGCTCCTTGTTTGGTTCCTCCCACATAAAGTTAGAGGGGATCTGAGCACATCTCCCCGTGAAAATTGAAACCCAAAGAGTGTCTAGATCCGCAAATCAATAAACCAATGAGGATCTATGAGAACTTATCCTGATCAAAGGAAGTTTAGGGGGAGAAACTTCCGTGTTACGGACTTTTAGAAAGTCAGAGAAAGAGTTAGTCAAAGAACCTTAGAATGTAAGGGAAAGAGTTAGTCAAAGAAAGAGTTAGTGAGGGAAAGAGTTAGTTAGGGAAAGAGTTAATTGTAACTTTGACTGTCAGGGAAAGAGTTAGTCAAAGGAAGAGTTAGTGAGGGAAAGAGTTAGTTAGGGAAAGAGTTAATTGTAACTTCTAGACTGTCAGGGAAAGAGCTAGTCAAAGGAAGAGTTAGTGAGGGAAAGAGTTAGTTAGGGACAGAGTTATTGTAACTTTTAGAATGTCAGGGAAAGAGTTAGTCAAAGAAAGAGTTATGTGAATCATGCTGGATAATTTGACTTCAATTCTGTCTTCATCCATCCTTTTCTGATTTGACCGCAGATCGTGGCCCTTGGCGTGTGAGAAAAACATGCCTGATTTTGCAGTTAGCATTTGACAGCAGCGTCGACATTGGTGACGCGGAGCTGTTGCCGATCCAGGGAAGCCATGTCGGATAATTATGATTGGTGGCAAGGGCGTAGCAATCAATCGTGGCAAGATGATGAGTGGAGTAATCACTATAGTGATCAGCGGTGGTTTTCTAGTGACTGGTCTCAGGGGCACTGGGATGTAGAGTCGTCATGGAATCACACCCCCTACTCTAGTAGAAGGTCATCATGGACTACGTGGTCGGCACCTCATTCAGAACATGATAGGCAAGAAAGAGCAGATTCCGGCAGATGGTGGAACACACCGAAGGGCAGATTTTGGGGAGACACGCTCGACGAGGCCGTAGAGTGGGCAGTGAAGCAAGGATGGATCACCACCGACAAGGCATTTTGCCAATGGTGGAGCAGTCAAAATGAGGCAATCCCTGAATCACTTGATGAAGGGACAGAAGAACCAATTCCTGACCTCGAACCCATCGACGCCAGTGGTGAAGGCGACAGGCCTACTAGCTCAGTGGGTAGCAGCGAGAAGGTCAGGTATGGGAAGGACTCCATTCCTGAGTTTGATGGCAGCACCACCATGAGAGAGTATAGACGAAGAGTCAAGCTCTTTGAGTCAGTGACGTCCATATCTCCTCAGTATCGAGCAGGCAGGCTGCTTGAACGTCTTTCTGGACTAGCTTGGAAGGCAGCAGAGACTTTGGACCTCGAGAGCATCAAGACTGAAAATGGCGTGAGTGTCCTTCTGGCTCACCTGGACCAGGAGTTAGAGCCGCTGGAGTACATGAAGACGTTCCAGGTGCTCTCCCACTTCTTTGACCACTTCAAGCGCCAACGAGGTGAACAGATGAGCAGCTATGACACTTCCTTTAGAATCCAGTGCGACAAACTCCGTGAGGTTGGATCGCCACTCGAGGGCACAGCTCAAGCTTGGTGGTTTTTGCAGAAGGCTGGCATCAGTGATGACACCCGTCAGAAGGTAGTATCAGCTGCTGGGGGCGTGTACGATTATCTCAAACTTCGTCAGGCCTTGGTAGCTATCATTCCAGATGTCCACAAACATGCCGATTCTTCCAAATCAGCGGACAGCAGCATGAATGGACCTGGTCCCAGGAAGTGGAAGAATGCCAAGAAATTCCATGGGGCTCATCGGGTCAATGCCGTTGCTGAAGCTGGAGAGGATGATGGCGACGAGGGTGGCTTGGAAGATGGTGAACTTTCTGAAGCTGGCCAGTTAGAAGTTGAGGCGGAAATACTCATGACACATGCTGCCCGCAAACGGGCAGAAGCTGAAAAGGGACGTGGCTTTAGTCAGAGTTCCAAGTCACGAGAAACTCCAGAGGAAAGGGCACGACGCATTGAAGCTCTCAAACAGAAGCTTCCATGCAGTGCTTGCAAGGCAGCAGGAGTGCTGGCTTACGGTCACTGGCATAGTGACGAAGCATGCCCTCAGAGGAAAGGAAAACCCAATGAGACATTTGTGACCTCCAATCTTCAGAACACTTCTGATTCTGATGGTGATAGTCTGGAGGATGCTTTCGCAGTGAAACTTACCGGCACCGTGGACCAGAAGGATCTCCAAGTGCTGATGCAGACCGCCAGCTTGAGAAAAGAGAGTCAGTTGCTGGCTTTGTCGGATACTTGTTGTGCCCGGAGCGTAGCAGGTGAGAAATGGATGATATCCCATCTCACCAGGTTGCATCATCAGCAGATTCCTTTTTGGTGCCATCGAGAGCATGAACCATGTCGTTTTGGTGCTGGACCGAGAACTTATTCCAAGTGGGCAGTGGTTTTCCCCCTGGAGTTTGTCAACAAGCAGAAGAACATCAGCTGCCCAGAGGTGTGGATCCGTTGCAGTGTGGTTTCTGATGACGTGCCATTTCTTTTGAGCCGCCCCACCATGAAGGCTCTTGGGGCGGTCATGGACTTGGGCCAGTCGCAGCTTGTGCTCAGTGCCATTGGTGTGCAGCTTCCATTGGCAGTGACAAGGACTGGCCTGGTTGGATTCAGCATTATGAGTGAGAACTCCTTGGTTCCTTCGGACGCACGTCGCGTTCGATTTGAGGACTTTGAGGTAGAGAAGGCAGTCATTGGTGAAAACATCAATGAAGTTGAGATCATTCCTCAACAATCCACTGAGCGTCAAGACCAATGTTAAATTTCACGAGGTCTTGGGGTTTTGGGATTTTTAGGGTATATTGGGTTTCAAAGTGAAAATGCATCATTTCGAGCAACCTGCGCGCAGAAGGGTCGTGAGGAAAAGTGTTGAATGTTGTGATTTTTGTTGAATCAGTGGTCCACAGGTCCAACTGGCGTTCCAGAGAAACTGAAACAGTCGGAAACAGTCGGAAACAGTCGGAAACAGTCGGAAACAGTCGGGAGCGGCCCGGCGTGATCATGCCTAAATTGTCAATCCGCCATTTTTTTTGCAAATAAAAAAATCCGCGCAATCCCATTTTTTTTTTGAAAGTGCAACGGGAAACAGTTGGAAACAGTTGGGGCTCGTACCTTTGACTCG